CGAGCCTTCTGAGATGATATGAGCGATTGGCTACCCATTTTGGGTTTGGAATTGGGAATTCGGATTATGATTGTCCAATTTAGAAATAGGGGTATAAATATCATTTTCAGTGTTTGAATTGGACTTAAAACCAGCTTGGGCCATAAGATTGGGGTTTAGGTGGTCCGTTTTAGGGTTTTGGGCTCGGATTTGAGTAATATTATCGTGAGCTGGTTTTAGAGTGGAAGATAGGCCTTTCTTAGGAGAGTTAGGGGCTGAGATGGGCTTAGGGACCGGTAGTTTGAGGCTTGAAAAATCCACATAGGATGGTGATTTGGCAAGTGGTGTAAACTTGGCGAATTGTGGTTGGCTGAGGTGAGGAGTTCTAGCCAAGTCAAGGGGTGAGGTGGAATGGGCGGGAAAAGTGGTTGGTGAAATTTGAATTGTGGAGACCTTGCCTTGTGTAGAAGATTCAGCTTCCACAATCAAGGAAGATTGATTGGTGAAATCTTCCATAATTACCACGTCCGAAAAGGAAGGTCCTGATTTGGAATGATCTTGATTTGCTACACTCATTAAAGGAGGAACCAAGACAAGATGAGAGTCTAGATTCATGCGGGGGCACAAGCAGCAGCTACCCACTCGAAGATCTCCACCGAGAGAAGGCGGAGATACGACGGAGACACGAAAAACCGATGACAAGACACGAAACAAAATGAGGACGAAACAAACCTCCACTAAAACTGAAATTAAAGAAGCACAACGAGCAAAAAACGCCCAAGAATGGATGCAAAAAACGAGGCTGAGATCACAAGGAATGAAAGCAGCCCTAAAACCGAATGAAATGAAAGAGAAACAACCAAAAAACGACACAAAAACACAAGAATACAGCTGACCCAAACACAAACACGAAAAAAACAAAGAACACTACCAAATTTTGAGAAAATTATATGCAAAGAGCACGAAAACCTCAAAACCAATGGATAACTGAACTAAAATGACAATAAGAAACGATGATCAACTAACCAGAAATGAAATGAATGGCTAAAATCGATCAAAATCTTCGTAGGAAAGACACAACTTTCTAGAGAGAAGGCAGAGCGTTTTTTCTAGAGAGAGAAACATTTTTTTCCTAAAAAATAACATTAGACAGGAATTGTAGCCAGCTGAAATGATATTAGATAGGAATTGTAGCCAGCTAAAATAGGTTTCTAATGCCGCCGGAACCAGTTGATTTGGAGTCCGGATGAGAAAGTTATGCTCGACTTCGTGGACACTACCGAAGATGTTGAGGGATCCTCTCTTCTAATTTGATTTTATTTTCCTAATTGCAACTCTTTTCGTACTCTTTGATCATTTTTGCTTCATGGACACCTTATTATCAATTTGTACCTATAAGAAGATACTAAATCCACCAATTAATACAAAAATATAAATTAATCCATAAAAAACTGCACGTAAACGTAAACGTCGAGTGTTATTTCTACACTCCACTGTATCTTTTGTATTTAGTGTTTTTGCTATTGTTTGGTTATGCGTGTTAAAGTCCTAGTGTTGTATTTCTTGTTTTTAAGAACGTTGTTGCGAATGCACTTTTGCTCATATTTTTTTACATGTACGTTTGTGCATGTCCATTTGAGCGAGTGTGTTTGTGCATGTTTGTTGATTTGTATTAATGTCCTAGTATTGTAGTTTGTGTTTTCGTGATCCTTTTTGCGAATGCACTGTTGCGTGAATACTTTTGTGCATGCTTTTGTACTTTTACTTGTGTGCGTATATTTTGTAGCGTGTGTTTTTGTGCACGTTTCTTGATGCGCATTCGTGTTCTCGTACTGTAGCACGTATTTTCATGATCGCTTTTGGAATCTAATTTTGACCATGTTCGAGTCCGAATTTGGAAATTTGATATTAGATAGGAATTGTAGCCAGCTGAAATAGGTTTCTAATGCCGCCGGAACAAGTTGATTTGGAGTCCGGATGAGAAAGTTATGCTCGACTTCGTGGACACTACCGAAGATGTTGAGGGATCCTCTCTTCTAATTTGATTTTATTTTCCTAATTGCAACTCTTTTCGTACTCTTTGATCATTTTTGCTTCATGGACACCTTATTATCAATTTGTACCTATAAGAAGATACTAAATCCACCAATTAATACAAAAATATAAATTAATCCATAAAAAACTGCACGTAAACGTAAACGTTGAGTGTTATTTCTACACTCCACTGTATCTTTTGTATTTAGTGTTTTTGCTATTGTTTGGTTATGCGTATTAAAGTCCTAGTGTTGTATTTCTTGTTTTAAAGAACGTTGTTGCGAATGTACTTTTGCGCATATTTTTTTACATGTACGTTTGTGCATGTCCATTTGAGCGAGTGTGTTTGTGCATGTTTGTTGATTTGTATTAATGTCATAGGATTGTAGTTTGTGTTTTCGTGATCCTTTTTGCGAATGCACTTTTGCGTGAGTACTTCTGTGCATGCTTTTGTACTTTTACTTACGTGCGTATCTTTTGTAGCGAGTGTTTTAGTGCGCGTTTTTTTATGCGCATTCGTGTCCTCGAACTGTAGCACGTATTTTCATGATCGCTTTTGGAATCTAATTTTGACCATGTTCGAGTCCGAATTTGGAAATTTGATATTAGATAGGAATTGTAGCCAGCTAAAATAGGTTTCTAATGCCACCGGAACCAGTTGATTTGGAGTCCGGATGAGAAAGTTATGCTCGACTTCGTGGACACTACCGAAGATGTTGAGGGATCCTCTCTTCTAATTTGATGTTATTTTCCTAATTGCAACTCTTTTCGTACTCTTTGATCATTTTTGCTTCATGGACACCTTATTATCAATTTGTACCTATAAGAAGATACTAAATCCACCAATTAATACAAAAATATAAATTAATCCATAAAAAACTGCACGTAAACGTAAACGTCGAGTGTTATTTCTACACTCCACTGTATCTTTTGTATTTAGTGTTTTTGCTATTGTTTGGTTATGCGTGTTAAAGTCCTAGTGTTGTATTTCTTGTTTTTAAGAACGTTGTTGCGAATGCACTTTTGCTCATATTTTTTTACATGTACGTTTGTGCATGTCCATTTGAGCGAGTGTGTTTGTGCATGTTTGTTGATTTGTATTAATGTCCTAGTATTGTAGTTTGTGTTTTCGTGATCCTTTTTGCGAATGCACTGTTGCGTGAATACTTTTGTGCATGCTTTTGTACTTTTACTTGTGTGCGTATATTTTGTAGCGTGTGTTTTTGTGCACGTTTCTTGATGCGCATTCGTGTTCTCGTACTGTAGCACGTATTTTCATGATCGCTTTTGGAATCTAATTTTGACCATGTTCGAGTCCGAATTTGGAAATTTGACATTAGACAGGAATTGTAGCCAGCTAAAATAGCTTTCTAATGCCGCCGGAACAAGTTGATTTGGAGTCCGGATGAGAAAGTTATGCTCGACTTCGTGGACACTACCGAAGATGTTGAGGGATCCTCTCTTCTAATTTGATTTTATTTTCCTAATTGCAACTCTTTTCGTACTCTATGATCATTTTTGCTTCATGGATACCTAATTATCAACTTGTACATATAAGATACTAAATCCACCAATTAGTACAAAAATATAAATTAATCAATAAAAAAATCCACGTAAACGTAAACATTAAGTGTTATTTCTACACTCCACTGTATCTTTTGTATTTAGTGTTTTTGCTATTGTTTGGTTATGCGTATTAAAGTCCTAGTGTTGTATTTCGTGTTTTTCAGAACGTTGTTGCAAATGTACTTTTGCGCATATTTTTTTACATGTACGTTTGTGCATGTCCATTTGAGCGAGTGTGTTTGTGCATGTTTGTTGATTTGTATTAATGTCATAGGATTGTAGTTTGTGTTTTCGTGATCCGTTTTGCGAATGCACTTTTGCGTGAGTACTTCTGTGCATGCTTTTGTACTTTTACTTACGTGCGTATCTTTTGTAGCGAGTGTTTTAGTGCGCGTTTTTTTATGAGCATTCGTGTCCTCGAACTGTAGCACGTATTTTCATGATCACTTTTTGCATCCAATTTTGACCATGTTCGAGTCCGAATTTGGAAATTTGATATTAGATAGGAATTGTAGCCAGCTAAAATAGGTTTCTAATGCCGCCGGAACCAGTTGATTTGGAGTCCGGATGAGAAAGTTATGCTCGACTTCGTGGACACTACCGAAGATGTTGAGGGATCCTCTCTTCTAATTTGATTTTATTTTCCTAATTGCAACTCTTTTCGTACTCTTTGATCTTTTTTGCTTCATGGACACCTAATTATCAATTTGTACCTATAAGAAGATACTAAATCCACCAATTAAAACAAAAATATAAATTAATCCATAAAAAACTCCACGTAAACGTAAACGTTAAGTGTTATTTCTACACTCCACTGTATCTTTTGTATTTAGTGTTTTTGCTATTGTTTGGTTATGCGTATCAAAGTCCTAGTGTTGTATTTCTTGTTTTTAAGAACGTTGTTGCGAATGCACTTTTGCTCATATTTTTTTACATGTACGTTTGTGCATGTCCATTTGAGCGAGTGTGTTTGTGCATGTTTGTTGATTTGTATTAATGTCCTAGGATTGTAGTTTGTGTTTTCGTGATCCTTTTTGCGAATGTACTTTTGCGTGAGTACTTTTGAACATGCTTTTGTACTTTTACTTGTGTGCGTATATGTTGGAGCGTGTGTTTTTGTGCACGTTTCTTGATGCGCATTCGTGTTCTCGTACTGTAGCACGTATTTTCATGATCGCTTTTGGAATCTAATTTTGACCATGTTCGAGTCCGAATTTGGAAATTTGACATTAGACAGGAATTGTAGCCAGCTAAATTAGCTTTCTAATGCCGCCAGAACAAGTTGATTTGGAGTCCGGATGAGAAAGTTATGCTCGACTTCGTGGACACTACCGAAGATGTTGAGGGATCCTCTCTTCTAATTTGATTTTATTTTCCTAATTGCAACTCTTTTCGTACTCTATGATCATTTTTGCTTCATGGGCACCTAATTATCAACTTGTACATATAAGATACTAAATCCACCAATTAGTACAAAAATATAAATTAATCAATAAAAAAATCCACGTAAACGTAAACGTTATGTGTTATTTCTACACTCCACTGTATCTTTTGTATTTAGTGTTTTTGCTATTGTTTGGTTATGCGTATTAAAGTCCTAGTGTTCTATTTCGTGTTTTTCAGAACGTTGTTGCGAATGTACTTTTGCGCATATTTTTTTACATGTACGTTTGTGCATGTCCATTTGAGCGAGTGTGTTTGTGCATGTTTGTTGATTTGTATTAATGTCATAGGATTGTTGTTTGTGTTTTCGTGATCCTTTTTGCGAATGCACTTTTGCGTGAGTACTTCTGTGCATGCTTTTGTACTTTTACTTACGTGCGTATCTTTTGTAGCGAGTGTTTTAGTGCGCGTTTTTTGATGCGCATTCGTGTCCTCGAACTGTAGCACGTATTTTCATGATCACTTTTTGCATCCAATTTTGACCATGTTCGAGTCCGAATTTGGAAATTTGATATTAGATAGGAATTGTAGCCAGCTAAAATAGGTTTCTAATGCCGCCGGAACCAGTTGATTTGGAGTCCGGATGAGAAAGTTATGCTCGACTTCGTGGACACTACCGAAGATGTTGAGGGATCCTCTCTTCTAATTTGATTTTATTTTCCTAATTGCAACTCTTTTCGTACTCTTTGATCATTTTTGCTTCATGGACACCTAATTATCAATTTGTACCTATAAGAAGATACTAAATCCACCAATTAAAACAAAAATATAAATTAATCCATAAAAAACTCCACGTAAACGTAAACGTTAAGTGTTATTTCTACACTCCACTGTATCTTTTGTATGCTATTGTTTGGTTATGCGTATTAAAGTCCTAGTGTTGTATTTCTTGTTTTTAAGAACGTTGTTGCGAATGCACTTTTGCTCATATTTTTTTACATGTACGTTT